TTATTCTATTCTGACCATCATTTCTCATGAAGTTGCCTGGGCTAAGCTCAAACTTGTGATCCTCCTGCTGCAGCCTTTTAAATACTTGGGATTATAGGCATGTGCCACAGATTCCCAGTTATTAAAAAGCCATTAAAGGGCCAGGGATTTAGCTCAGTGGTTCTGCCGACTGCCTCACAAGTGCAAGGACCCAAGTTCCATCCCTGGTAGCCCCACCCCAAAAGAAGGCAAAAGCCATTAAAAAAAAAAAAAGAAAGAATTGTTAGGACCAAAGATGTAGCTCCACAGGATGGACCTTGCCTCGCCGGCACAAAGCCTGGGTTCAGTCCCCCGCACTACACACAGACACACAGAATTATAAGTCATTAATAGAAGAATGGATAAATGTGGCTATACCCACACTGGAATATTGTTGAATTTTAAAAAGGAAGGAAATTCTGACACATTCTACAATATGGATGAATCTTGACATCATCCGAAATGATAAAACCATCACAAAGTAAAATATTGTGTGATTCCAGCTCTAAAAAGTATTTAGCATAATGAAATTCATAGAGCGGGGAACAAAATAGGATGGTGATTCCCAGGTGCCTTAGTCACTTTCTCCACCACTGGGAGAAAATACCTGACACCCACAACTTACAGAAGAGAGGATTACAGTGGCTCACAGTTTGTAGAGGTCTCAGTCCATATTCAGCTGGCTCCAGGACAGGGAATCATGGCAGAGGGATGGGACAGGGGTGGAGGGCAGCTGCATTGTGCACCGTGAGCAGGAAGCAGAGACTAAGAAGGGAGGAGGCATGGAGGGGGAAGAAGTAGTCTTTCGGGCCGCACCCTCGGACTTCCTCAACCAAGCCCCACCTCCACCATCACACTTAGCTATAAACTCATCAGAGGATTAAATCCACTGATTAGCGTAGCTACAGAAAATAGCCTATGAGTAAGACAGCTGGCTAGGAAAAGAGCCTGAGATAGACTTGGGTGATTGGCCATATTGCTAAGAATTAAAATAAGAATAGGCAGAGAACTAGGACTTTGAACCAAGAATGAACTTCCTGCAATGTAGAAGCAGCCCCCTCTCCGCTTAAAGGGAGTCGAAGCCACTCCCTACTAAGCTCCTGAGTTTTGAGCAATTTAATATGCAAAATAACCACCTTTTTTTTTTTTAATCCCAGGTTCCTTTAAAACTCACATGCTGAGTAACTGGGTTAGAGAGCCTGGGTTCCAATTGGCCATTTTAAATTCACAGAGCCACCAGTGATAGGTGGCTGCTAAACATCCCAGCAGTTTCCCTTGTGCCACTTTTCCATAAAAAGTTCTGGGCTGAGGGGCTATATGGAAATTCTACTTTTTGTATTACTCTGCTGGAGACATCAAGTCTTCTTATTTCCAATAAAAACTCCCCTAACTTCCTTCCTCTCCTAACTTCCTCCTCAGTTTGTACAAGATTAACTGTTTTTCAATCACTTCCCAAAAGCCCCAGCCTCACAGCACATGAGGTTTTGGGGGACTATCTAGATCTAAACCGTGATGCCAGGGGCTAGAGGAAAAAAAGGGTGTAAAATAGATCTCAACTTGATAAAGGCCATCTATGAAAAACCAACAGCCAACATCACACTCAGTGGTCAAAAACTGAAAACCTTCACACTAAAATCAGGAACAAGAGTAGGATGTCCACTATCACCACTCCTGTCCAATATAGTGTTAGAAAGATTAGCCACAGCAATTTAGACAAGAGGAAGAAATAAAAGCAATAAAGATAAGAGAGGAAGAAATTAAACTGTCATTATTTGCTGATGATATGGTACTCTACATAAAAGACCCAAAAAACTCTGCCAAAAGACTTCTAGACTTGATTGATAGATTCAGTAGAGTAGCTGGATACAAAGTCAACACCCAGAAATCATTAGCCTCCCCGTACACAAATAATAGACTAACTGAGAGAGAAGTTAGGGAAACAATCCCTTTCACAATAGCATCCCCCAAAAAAGAAATATCTAGGAATCAATCTAACAAAGGAAACAAAAGACCTCTACATTGAAAACTACAGCACTCTGGGAAAAAAAGATCAAAGAGGATATAAGAAAATGGAAAGATATCCCTTGTTCCTGGGTAGGAAGAACCAATATTGTGAAAATGGCCATACTTCCAAAACTGCTATACAGATGCAATGCAATCCCTATTGAAATCCCAACAGCATATTTCACAGAACTAGAGAAAACAATCCAAAAACTCATTTGGAATCAGAAGAGACCTAGAATAGCAAAAGCAATTCTAGGCAACAGAGACATGGCAGGGGTATCACAATCCCAACCTGAAACTATACTACAAAGCCACTGTGATAAACACAGCATGGTACTGGCAAAGAAACAGACCTGAGGAGCAGTGGAACAGATTAGAAGACGCAGAAACAATTCTATACTCAGCTACCTCATCTGTGACAAAGGAGTCAAACACCCTCTCTGGAGGAAAGACAGCCTCTTTAATAAATGGTGTTGGAAAAACTGGATCTCAACCTGCCAAAGATTAAAACTAGACCCCAATCTTTCACCATGCACTAAACTAAAATCCAAGTGGATTAAAGATCTAAATATTAAAACAGAAACACTGAACTTGCTGCAAGATAAGTTTGGTAGAACTCTTGAAGACACTGGCATAGGAAACGACTTTATGAACAAATCCTCAGTAGCCCAGGAACTAGCACAAAGAATCAACAACTGGGCTCTCATCTTTTTTTTTTTTTTTTTTTTTTTTTTTTTTTTTTTTTTTTTTAGAACTCAGGTCCTTGTGCTTGCGAGGCAGGCGGTGGAACCACTAAGCTAAATCTCTGGCCCAGGGAGCTCATCTTTTTAAAAGGCTTCTGCACTGCCAGAGAAATCACAAGCAGAGCTAAGAGACAACCTACAATGTGGGAAAAAAAATTTACCAACTGTTCCTCAGACAAAGGTCTACTGTCTAGAATATATACAGAACACAAAAAAATCAGACCCCCCCAGATATAAAGACCCAATTCAAAAGTGGGCATCTGAAATGAACAGACATTTCTCAGAAACAGAAGTAAAAGCAGCAAATAAACATATGAAAAAATGTTCGACATCACTGGTCATTCGAGAGATGCAGATGAAAACAATACTGACATCCCACGTCACCCCAGAAAGAGTGGCTGCTATCAAGAAATCAACCAATAACAATGCTGGATGGGTTGTGGGGAGATAGGAACCCTTCTCCATTGTTGGTGGGAGTGCAGACTGGTGCAAACACTGTGGAAATCAATATACAGATACCTCAAACAACTAGGATTACAAGTCCCATTTGACTGAGCTGTTCCTCTGCTGGGTATCTCCTCAAAAGAATTAAAAGCATCTACCACAGTGATATATGCACACCCATGTTTATAGAGGCACAGTTTGTAATAGCTAAAACTTGGAAACAGTCCAACTGCCCATCAACTGGAGACTGGATAAAGAAGATATGGTTGTTTTCTAAAATGGAATACCACTTGGCCATAAAAAAGGAGAAACTAGAGATATTTATAGCTAAGTGGATGCACACTGAGGCCATACTCTTAAGTGAAATTAATAGGATACGTGTGTAAATACCAAATAGCTTCTCTTGTGTAAAAAACTACAAGTGTCAGTAAGGATCAAAATGTATAATTGATATTGTGTAATAGGAAGAAAAGGTCTAAAGTAGTAGAAGTGGGAAAGGTAAGAAGGGAAAATTTAAAAATATGAGAAAAGCAAACAAATGCAAACAAATCTTTGTAAATAGGGAAGGGTGGAGGGGGCGAAGGGAGGGCAGGGTTAGGGGGAAAAATGAGAACCAAGATATTTCATGTAAAGGTACAAGATCCCAATGATGAATGTGACTGTACTGTGTACCTAAAATGTACCAACACACTTAATGGGAAAAAGAGAGAGAGCGCGTGCAGGCGGGCGTTGTTGAATGGATAGAGTTTCCCTTGGGGTGATGGCCAGTTCCAAGCTGCCCGTGCAGATGGATGCTCAGCAGTTCACAGGTACAGCCTCCCTGGCCCTGAACTTCATTCAGCTCCGCAGTTACGACGTCACCGAGGCTCCCAGCTCAGCAGGAAGGACAAGGGTGAAGCACGATCCCTGTGTCCACTCGCACAGCTGAACAAAGGGCCGCTGCAAGGCCTGGGGACCACCCGCCCTGCCTCGGAGCCAGCCGGTTGTGGACGGAAACCTCTGTGAACTGTGAGCCAACCGACCCCCTTCCCCTGTAACTCTGGGTGTCGGGTATTCTGTGTCAGCAAGGAGAGAAAAGTAACTAACACATAGGCCAAATTAAGTAATGAAGATTTGTTAACATTCCTATTTCTTTTTGCCTAAGATATTGACCTGTTCTCTACCCAACTCAGTACCACTAGTTAGCAACAACTTCTGGGATATGATGGAGATGACACATTTCTGCCCTTAATTTCTGATGCTTAGTAGCAGATGAATGTGATTTATACATTCTATTGCTTTGTCATAAAGACTCAAATTATGAAACAGTTCTTTCTAGTTTTCTTGCTATTCCTGCTTTTCTGAGAACCACAGAAATATAACAAGACACTGGGGATTGTTTCTAGGGCGGAAACACAGCCCTTCTAACATAGCACAAGAGTTAAAGTGGTTAAGAGGAGAGATTAGTGTGAAAGACGTCGAAATCAACACGGAGCTATTGCTGTGTGTGACGGGACTTAGTTACTTTTCTCACTGCTGAGACAAAGTACCTGATACCCAAAGTCAAAAGAGGAAGGGTTTCTTTAGCTACAGTTCAGGGGATTTCAGTTCATAGTTGGCTGGGTGGTATGGCGGGGGTGGGGGCATCAAAGAGGAGAAATAGTCACCACAGGCAAGCAGGCAGGAGCAAGCAAGGGACAATGACAGCTTTCTGTCCCTTATATCTTACCCTTTTACCTACTTAGGGCGGGCAGCACTCACGCCCTTAATCCCAGTGTCCCTGATCCTACAACTGCACCATGAGTCAATCCCAGCATCACACACTCTAGATCCGGTCACCTCTGAAAGAGCCCCACGCAGGACTGCAGGAGGCTTTGGGGGACACCTAGACACAGCCATAACCGGTCCCTCTGGGTTGCTAGGCTCTTGCGTGTGACAAGGAAGTGGATGTGGCACATGATGGCAGCTGACTTTCAGACGCTCTTCCCCGTTGTCTGAAGGGTCTGGCAGGGAACAGTTGAACCAACACACCCATGTGCACAAACCTACTGGTGATTCCCGAGAGGAAATAACAATTCGCAGAGGCAACATCGTGTAAGTCCCCAAGGAGGAAGGAAATCAGTCGCAGTGGCCTCACACATGCTGTGCCTGCCTATCCACAACCTACTGTGAACTTCCTACTCCCTCGTCTGTCACCTTGATGACAGGAGGTTTACTGGGTAGAGCGACCCTGCCTTTCGTGTCTGTGCCCAGTAAACCAACTTTAATTCTGGGTCACTCCCTGGCTGTCCCAGGCCTCTCTCCTACCCGCTGCTCCTGGGAACAGTGAGATTCTCCCCGGAGTCTTTGATGGATTCCACCTGACTGTGAGGCGATCAGAATGTCCCTCCCACGAGCTCATTACTCTGTCACGCTCTCCAGATTCCTGGGCTCAAATCCCGAGCTATTGGTGAAGACACTCAGCTGGGGGTGCGGGGAGCGCTCAGACAGAGACCTCTGCTCCAATTTCAGTGGCTTTGACCTCTAAGACCCCTTTTCACCCTTTCAGGCTCCGTTGCTGTTTGTGGCGCCTCCAGTCGCTCTGTTTCTACAGGGGCTGGGGAGCAGTGATTCACTGGTCACCTCACCAGAGGCAGAGACACCTGAGAAAGCCGGTACAGCATATTCGCACTGTTGGTGCTGCTCCTCTAGAGAAACCTGACTAACACAAGGGCTTGCAGGCCCGTTCCCCACTTCCCCATCCACACCCATTTTCAGCTTCCCTTTACTCATTCCTGGAACTTTTCATTTTTCTCTCTGTCACCCTGGCACAAAGATGCAGGCTCGTATAACACTAAAAGTAACCTTTATGTGGTGCTGATAAACTGGGCCTAACACATGCCCACCTCCCCCGGAGAAAACGCCAGCTCTTCCTGCCCAGGTGTTACTGTATCTGCTGCTGCGACTGCTGTTTCCGTCCGTCCTCCCTTGGACCCAGGTGCGTTGTATCAGAGGCACTGGACTCAGAATTCCCTCCCTCTAGCCGCACCTGCCACGGCCCGTGCTAACTTCTCTCTTGAGGTGAGCTCTGCTCAGGGTACTTCCTCAGCCTTGCACGAGTGGACTTCTGCTGGCTGCCTCCCGCTTCCTCCCAGTCAAGCTCCAGGGTGAGCACGCAACGACCCAGTAATTCTGGAAGTTTGTCTGCTACAAGCTGGGGAGACACTGCGTCAAAACTGCCAGCAGCTTTATTTATCTGTTTTGGTACCGGGGATTGAACTCAGGATGCAGCACTTGCAAGGCAGGCAGCGGAACCACTGAGCTAAATCCCCAGTCCAACTTCACCCTTAAAGGAGAGGCGGCATCCAAGCGAGGTGTTCAGAGCTTGTCTCCCATCGCGGCTGTTCCAGAGTCTCGAAGGAAAAGGCCAGAGTCTGCCCTGCAACGGGAAGGTAGGGTCTGGCTGGGCACCTTCCTGGGGAGGCAGCGCCATGTGTGTGTGCACGCTGACGCGGGGAAGGGGGTTTCTCCCTTCTGGGCCGAAGGAGAGGCAGGAGACTGGATCACAGGAAACAAGGCAGCCAGGAGGAGCGAGGGAGAGCGTGAGCCTTTGGGTGACGTGAGTGTCCTGTCAGCCCAGAGCCCACGTCCCTTCCGACGCTGGAGCAGCCTTCCCAGGAGTGTCTGCAGCAGCAAGGCTCACAGAGACAAACGCAGCTCAGGAAAGACAGGCGTGCGGTGCACCCCATCTGAGCAGCCTGAAAAGCCCGGGAAAACCCAGGGGGACAGTGTACCTCCCTTGTGGAGGCTTAGGCTGTGTATTTAGGGTGAACAGGCAGAGTGCCGATCGTGTCCGCTGGACAACTCGGGGTCGGGGTTACATGTATTTTACCCATTTCAGGCGTGTTCTCCCTCAGGGTCGGGCTCAGACCCCATCCCAGGATTTCTGGCCCTGGTGTCCTGCGACTCCCGTGACAAGACATCTGCCCAACGGTTAGGAGAAAACTCCACGGATTCGGTGAGTGAACGTTTGAGATGATGCCTCTCGTTTCCTGTAAAAATGTTCGTGTGGGAAAAGAATGTGCCTGCAGCACCTGAAAGTAAGGGGAAAAGGTTACGCGCCTGTCACTGGATCTGAGACGAGCTTGCGCAAGCATTCAGCCCCGTCGGTACAGCCGTGTTCAGAGGTAGCTCCCCCGGCTGTTCTAAGCTTGGAGGAGGAAGCAAGAGTGACATGGTGTTTGTCCTTCCTCTACTCCTCACTGAAAAGGAAATGACATAGTTAGGAACATCATTATCAATCAGTAATCAATTTGTTCGCTTGTTTGTTTTTTGAGACAGGGTCTCACTATGTAGTTGAGACTGACCTGGAACTCACTGTGTAGCCCAGGCTGGTCTCGAACTCACAGCGATCCTCCTGCCTCAGCCTCCCGAGTGCTGGGATGACAGGCATCGTGATGCCACACCTGGCAATCAGTCATTAAGTTTTGATATGTTATCTAAATAACTTATAACCAAACTTTGAAAGTTAAACTTTAAAGGACTACACGACATGATACTCAATGCAGGCGCTCTTTGGGAAAGCAATTCAGTTTTTATCTAAGTTGGTGACTTAGGATGGGGAGTAGAGACAGCCACATCAGGGTCTGACCACCTGCTTCTCCGACCAGGGACACATCTCTAGGAACCGTTTGCACTGCTTCCGTTGCCAGCTCAAACCTGGGTGGGCTCTGGGCAGCCCCAGCCCAGGGGAGGCACCCGTCTCTCTGTTTTGGCATTTTGAGAAGGGGTGCTCAGTGGCAAAGACGGAGGTGGGGACACAGAAGAGATCTGAAGGGTTTGTGGGCGCTGTTAGGAAGAGCAGGTACAGTGTATTTCTTGGGACGGGCTAAGGAGCCAGAGCCAGGTAGCAGAGGACAGTGCCTACAGACAGCATCACGGAAAGATTTGGCTGGGAAGGCAGGTAGGAGAGGAAGGACCCTCGACTGAGGAAGAACTTTGGTTTTGCCTTTGGGTTAATGTTCCTGACCTGTGCAGCTCCTTGGTTACCATGGGAGGGAACATGAGGGCGGCAGGTGAATGTGAGTAACTTGGGAAGGCTCAGAGGAGAGGGACCAAACTTGATCTCTGGTGGTTCCTGTTTGTCTGGGGCAATGCGAGCTTTTCACAAATTTGTGCAGTGGCCTGACCAAGGTCACACGGGTGTAAGTGGCCAGGTCAGGAGCTGGACCGGGGCTCCCAGTGGCCGGTCCTGTGTTTTTCTGTTACACAGCTTCCCAAAAGGTTTCCTTTGCTTTTCCTTGACCAAGGAGTTTTGAGATGTTACTTTTCTGATAAAGTAAAATTACTTTTTGTCTTCTTGTTCAATAAATTGATTTCGTTTTTCGAGAAGACTTGATACGGGTTTGTGGACAAAAGGAAGATGTACAGCAGTGTTTGAAATTGATTTTATACTCAGTCTAGAGGCTTGAATACTGGGAGGAGATGTGGAATCACATGTGCATTCTAGATTGTGATGTGGCCATTAGAAATTTACTGACAAGAGCCGGGGATTTAGCTCAGTGGTTCTGCCGCCTGCTTGGCAAGCGCAAAGTTCTGAGTTTGATCTCCGGTACCAAAAGAAAAAAGAAAAAAGAAAGAAATTTACTGACAAATGGTGTCCCAAAAAAAGAAAACAACTGTAGAAAAATGAGTACTTTCCCTTAGAAAAAAAAGTACTTTAAATATGAAACACTTCTTCATTTTGGTTTGCATAAATAAAAAGCAAAAACTAGGGTCAAATGAAAGATCAAAGGAAGCGGGTCTGTTTGTGTGATGCTCTTAACTCTTACAGTTATGAAGTATTTTGGGGAAGGGGCATGGGGAATCGAATTCGGGTCCTTGCGCTTATAAGACAGGCGGTGGAGCCACTAAGTTAAATCCTCAGCCCCTAACTTTACAGTTACGAATTTATACAGATTCAGTGCCCCAGAACTACAGACTGCATGGGAATCAATCTAAGGATGGGCAGATGGATAGGTAGATTAAATGAGAGAAGGCAAGCGAAGGAGGGACGGAGGGACTTGGAAAACTTGGAAAATACATTAAGGGCAAAGGAATAGAAATTTTTCACCCATTTTCTTATAGCTCAGAATTACATTGGTTAATGTCTAGCCCCCTTTTTGATGCAAAAAGCCGTACTATGTGTCTCTGCAGCCCAGTCTTTTCCCGGAGAAAGATATGCTGAGCAATTTCTCATGCCTCCAGGCTCTCTGTAAATGTGACTTGAGAGGTACCATGTGGCACCCAGCCCGGGGATCTCCTGGCAGTGGACAGTCCCACCCTACCCACTCACTACATGGTCAGGCTGGGGCCAGGGCCTGGAGTTTAGAGGACCGAAAGCCTGGTCCTCGGGACAGTACCATTTCTTTTTAGTAGTTGGCCTTGAATTTAATGTGCTGCAGAAGAGAAATCAAACAGCAGAAAAAGCTAAATTTGATCACCCAAGGACTACAATGTCCTTATTCCATGTCTGGGTCTGTGGGACATTGCTTGTTTTCATTCCCTTATTGCAGGGGCTCGGCCAGGCTGAGGATGCCATACAAAGTAAGGACTGCAATTTTGCAGCCTTGAGCAAATAGCTTAATATGCTTGGTGGTGTCCTCTTGATCAGCAGGAAAGAGCAAGACAGACAGAGACCAAGCGAGAGGGAGAGAGAATCTCTCAGTCAAATGATAAATTATAAAGAAACACCCACATAGTTTCACCTCCCACAGGCTGCAGGAATTCTTCCTTGTCTTTACCATTACAAAAGCAAAAAGCATGGGCCGGGGTTTTAGCTCAGCGGTCGGTGGCCTGCCTCGCAAGCGCGAGGACCCGAGTTCAATCCCCAGTAGCAAAAAAAAAAAAAAAAAAAAAAAAAAAAAAAAAAAAAGCAAAAAACAAAAGAACAAGATCATATGTCATCCTAAATCATTCAGGCTGATGATTCCTGCCCTGCCTCTGACTCACGGAGCTGCTGTCCTCTCTCCATTGCCCCCTACATCACACCCTTGTTTCAAGTCCAGCAAAACCTTCAGGGGCAGTGACCCCGCTCCAAAACTGCATCTCAGTTTTCGGTTGCTGGGGAATGAGTTGTCCAACCTTCAAGTTCTAAATCTACGAAGGGAAGAAGGAGACTGTGTCATCTGGCTACAAGGATTTTGTCTGAGGACGGTCTGGTGGAGGAGGCCGAGGTTTCTTGTCATTTGTTAGGGTGAGGAAACTGGGCCTCACACGGTGAGATAAAGACATCAGACTGTGGAGACGCCGTCCCTTCTCTCCTGAGGTCCTGCAACCAAACCCAGTGAGACAGGAGCGACCACCTCTGGGGCCGCCCCTTCGGGACCTCAGAGCCCTGGTGCCAGTGCGGGTGCTTCAGGAGACCCGCACTTACTGCAGGGTTAGGGGCTGGGCTCGAACTCAACCTTGCTGCTGCTCAGTGCTGAGACTTAACTGGTCAAGTTATTGAACCTCTCTGTGCCTAGCTTCCCTCAGCAAGAACAAGTCCCTGGGGCTGGGGATGTAGCTCAGTGGCGCCACACCTGCCTTGCAAGCTCAAGGTCCTGAGTTCAATACCTGGTACTGGGGGAAAGAAAAGAAAAAGAAAAGAAAAGAAAAAGTTCCTCCCTCCCAGTATTATGATAAAAATAAACATGTAAAACCTTTACAGCAGGATAACTGTTCCTGGGCAAAGCAAAAAGCCCTATAGCAAATGGTGGACCTTGTTCATCAGATTCTGTGTCAAGATCTAACTCAAGTCCTCTTCTTTCCCTTTGAAGAAAGTCATGGCGTTGAGGAAGAAGCGGCGTGCAAACCACGGCCCCAGAAAAGCCTCCTATCATTTGGTCACCAGCAAACCATGGCTGATTGTGAACTGAGTGTTCTAAGATTCCAAGGCCCCACAGAGGGCACCACCATCCTGCTAATGAGCAGAATGGGCTGTGCTGGCCAAGTAAGCCCACTACGGGCTTGTAAGGTAGAGGTGGCTGCTCAGCTTGTCTCCTCAGTTCCACAGCAATCCTGTGAAATTGGTGCTGTCCTGATTTATTTCCTCTTTACAGATGAAAGCAGGAGTAGAGGCAGTAAGTAAATTCCCCAGATCTGATACTTGATTTCTGATTTTCTGACTTCTGGCGCACAGAGCCATAAGCTCTATGCTTAAAAGCTTAAGCACTGTGTGTAAAGCGCTTGCTCGAGGCAAGGAGTCGTAACATTGAGCCACGTGGGTTAGGAGAGACCGAAACTTCTTATGTTCCCTGTATTCCTTTCAGTGTAAGACCATCCACAGCCCATAGTTCTGGTGGGGATTGAACTAAATGGTGTTGGGTAGGTCAAGTCTTGTACTGAAGTAGACACTTGGATGACTGATGGAGAAACAAGATGTTACAGACTGAACATTTTTGTCTCCATGAAGTTCTTAGATTGATAAGTATTGTAAGGATGAGGTCGTGTTCAGAGGTGGGATCTTTGGGAGGTGATTAGGTCACCAGGGTGCAGCCCCCGTCAATGGGATTAGTGCCCTTATGAGAGAGACCCCAGAAAGATGGCCCAGCCCTTCTACTGTGTCAGCCCCCTGTGAACCAAAAGGTGGACCAGAGGTGGTCTGTGAGGACAGACACCAAATGAGCCAGCACCATGACCCTGGACTTCCCAGCCTCCAAAGCTAAGAGAAATCTCTGTTATTTATAAGTCTATGGGATTTTGTTAAGTAGCCTGGATGGGCAAGAAATAAGGAAATAGAGGAGGAATAACAGGTGGATGGGAAGGCAGTAAGGACAGGGAGTAGGTACCGTGCTCCGTATTGGGTCTGAGGTGCTGATGTAGCTCAATGGCGCCACCATTTCCCAGGTAGCCTGGGAAAAAGTAATGGGATGGGCAGAAGGGACCACCACTAACAGAATTCGCGAAGTACAGAGAAAAGAAAGGAGCCTCTGCATTCAATGTTTTTTGTTTGTTTGTTTTGTTTTGCTTTTTTGGTTTTTTGAGACAGGGACTCACTATGTAGTTGAAACTGACCTGGAACTCACTTATGTAGCCCAGGCTGGTCTGGAACTCACAGAGGTCCTCCTGCCTCAGCCTTCCAAGTGCTGGGATTACAGGCGTGCAGCACCACGCCCAGCCTGGATTCAATGTTGGAGAGAAAGGACATCTTGCCCATGTTTGTATCATCCACAGACCCTTTGACCTAGAATGCTCTCAAAAGTATTTGGAGAGTGGTTAAAGTTCTACTGTATGGCTGTCCTATCCTGACCTTTAAGAAAATCCAAACTTCATTATTTTTCACTTTTGAATAATACATTGTGATTTATCCATCAAGGGACTGATTTAATAAACAACTCTGGGATAACTGGCATTGAACTCGGGTCCTTGTGCTTGCAAAGCAGGCCACCGAACCGCTGAGCTAAATCCCTGGCCCCTGGCAGTCCTTTTTGAATAACAAAGCTAGATCCATACCCTGTGCCGTATGCAAATACATTTCAAATCAATTATAACATAGTGGTAATAAATGCCAGAGATGTGGCTCAGTTTTGAAAACTTGTCTAGCTTCTGTGAGGCCTTCGGTATATTTTATCTGTTTGTTTGTTTTGTTTTTGTCTGGCCTGTCTTTACTGTCTGAGTGGCATGGAAATCAACACCACACAGCTCCACTCCCTGATCGGTGATAACACACAAAGCCGGCAAGTTGTCCAAAAGTTACACAACATAGGCTACTGGTTCACACAATCACTGTTTCTGTGTGGGCCCCATACTGCCCGCTGATTCAGTAGCAAGTGGAAAGCCTGGGTGAAAACCCTTACTACAGCCATCTTGAGTGACCCTGACCACACAGATGTCCTTGTGCCTTAGGAGAATCCCATCTTAAAGTGGCATTTCACTGCGGTTTTCTGTGATAATTTCCATCAGAACCCAGATCTGCCCTGCCACAGTCTCTGTACTCCCTCACTGTCTCACAAAAGGCAGATCTCAAAGGGCATGGGGTCACACACCCACACTCAAAAATCAGTAACCTGGGCTGGGGATTTGGCTCCGTGGTTCCGCTGCCTGTCTTGCAAGCATAAGATCCCAAGTGTGATCCCTGGCACCAAAAAAAAAAAAAAAAAAAAAAAAAAAAAAAAAAAAAAAAAAAAAAAAAAAAAAAAAAACAACCAAAAATCTATAACCTTCTTGTACACAAATAACAGATTAATGAGAGGGAAATTAGGGAAACAGTCCCTTTCACAATAGCATCCAAAAAATGAAATATCTAGGAATCAATCTAACAAAGGAAACAAAAGACCTCTACATTGAAAACTACAACATTCTGAAAAAAGAGATCAGAATATAAGAAAATGGAAGGAGATCCCTTGTTCCTGGGTAGGAAGAACCAATATAGTGAAAATGGCCATACTACCAAAACCGCCGTACAGATTCAATGCAATCCCTATTGAAATCCCAATAGTAGCCTGGCGTGGTAGAGCATGCCTGTAATCCCAGCACTCAAGAGGCTGAGGCAGGAGGATTGTGAGTTTGAGACCAGCCCGGGCTACATAGTGAGTTGAGTTCCAGGTCAGTCTCAACTACATAGTGAGACCCTCTCTCAAACAAACAAAAAGAAATCCCAACAGCATATTTCACAGAACTAGAGAAAACAGTCCAAAAATTCATTTGGAACCAGAAGAGACCTAGAATAGCAAAAGCAATACTAGGCAACAGAGACATGGCAGGGGGTATCACAATCCCAACTTGAAACTATACTACAAAGCCATTGTGATAAACACAGCATGGTACTGGCAAAGAAACAGACCTGAGGAGCAGTGGAACAGATTAGAAGATGCAGAAACAACTCTATACTCAGCTACCTCATCTTTTTTTTGTTTTTTTTTTTGTTTTTTTGAGACAAGGTTTCACTATGTAGTTGAGATTGACCTAGAACTCACTGTGTAGCCCAGGCTGATCTCGAACTCACAGAGATACTCCTGCCTCAGCCTCCCAAGTGCTGGGATTACAGGCATGAGCCACCACACCTGATTTCATCTACCTCATCTTTGACAAAGGATCCAATCATCCTCACTGGAGGAAAGACAGCCTCTTTAATAAATGATGTTGGAAAAACTGCATTTCAACTTGCCAAAGATTAAAACTAGCCCCCTATCTTTCACCATGCACTAAACTAAACTCCAAGTGGATTAAAGATCTAAATATTAAAACAGAAACACTAAACTTGCTGGAAGATAAGTTTGGTAGAACTCTTGAAGACACTGGCATAGGAAAAGATTTTATGAACAAATCCTCAGTAGCCCAGGAACTAGCACAAAGAATCAACAACTGGGATCTCATGTTTTTAAAAGGCTTCTGCACTGCCAAAGAAATCGCAAGCAGAGCTAAGAGACAACCTACAATGTGGGAAAAAATTTTTACCAGCTGTTCCTCAGAAAAAGGTCTACTGTCTAGAATATATACAGAACTCAAAAAAATCAGACCCCCCAAATATAAAGACCCAATTCAAAAGTGGGCATCTGAAATGAACAGACATTTCTCAGAAACAGAAGTAAAAGCAGCAAATAAACATATGAAAAAATGTTCAACATCACTGGTCATTCGAGAGATGCAAATGAAAACAATAATGAGGTCCCACATCACCCCAGAAGAGTGGCTGCTATCAAGAAATCAACCAAAACACATGCTGGATGGGTTGTGAGGAGATAGGAACCCTTCTCCATTGTTGGTGGGAGTGCAGACTGGTGCAAACACTATGGAAATCAATATGGAGATACCTCAAAGAGCTGGGACTAGACGTTCCATTTGACCCAGCCATCCTTCTGCTGGGTATCTTTCCAAAAGAATTAAAAGAATCGTATCACAGATGTATGTGCACCTATGTTCATAGCGGCAAAGTTTGTAATAGCTAAAACTTGGAAACAGTCCACCTGCCCATCAACTGGAGACTGGATAAAGAAGATGTGGTTATTTTCTAAAATGGAATACCACTTGGCCATAAAAAAGGAGAAACTAGAGATATTTATAGCTAAGTGGATGCACATT